GCTCGGGTTGCAGGCATTTCAACATGTGCAGGTTCAGTCAGAGCATTTGTGATACGTACTGTAATGCAAGCAGTGTTTTATGTTCTCGAATAGCAGGGTTGTGCCGACGGCCTCCCTGATGCCATAATCAGAATAATGTTGGGTCAGCTCACTGTCGAATCAACTGGCAACGACCGGAATGCAAAGAGGTAGCAGTCAATTTAGACCCTGTACAACATATTAATATCATGGCCATGATGAGACCAAGATGAATACCTTCGGCATTACAGTGACTGCAGTATGTATTGTGCCCTGCAGCTTAAACACTGGAGCGAATTCATTGAGCATTTCTTAGGCAGCGTTGTAAATTCTGTACCAATTTTCTGACACCTGGCGATTTGGTATGTTCAGGCAGCGGGATTGAACCAACGACATGTGTGTGTCGCAGTACACTTGTAAGCACTACTCTCTTCGAACTCACAATTATATATACAGTTTCTTTCAAGTTTCTGCTCTAGCAAATGACCTAATTTAACTTCCACGTCCGACTTTCTATTAACCTCGGCATTGATTGAGCAATTCTTTCCACTTCTGTTCAGCAAACACGAGGTGCTATTTTATTTCCTTATTTACGTACAAGCTGACGTTTCGGCGGATTTCGCCTTTCTCAGAGCCTGGAAAGGTCATGTTGACAGCAACCTATTCGGCCGAACACCTTCATAACCAAAAAGAGCAAACGCTAAACCAAGATTTCAATCACTTTGAACACAGCTTTGCACACTCACCGCTTTCTATGAGGTCTCCACTAAGTATGTCACGTAGAGACCAAACGCACAGAAATCACATGGAAGCAAAATGTGCCCCTCCCATCAGAATAGCAGTCTTATATACTGCCCTATATCACGCGTGATAATGAGGCATTCTTCCCTGCGGTTCATTTTCGGATTTCTGGAATTAACCCAGAACGCCTCGAGAGTTTTGCGCGCTTGTGTTCTTGATTCCTGCACGAGGATCGAGACACGTACTTCAAAGTCCTCCCCGTTATGTTTCTGGGTCCTATGCGTTCCTAGCGGGGTATTTGGTTCATGTTTTCCGCTATTGAAGCTGTGTTATACGATTTACTCAAAAGGTCTTCGAATTTTCTCCGCAAGTTTACTTTAGTATTAGACCTAACAGTGTTGCAAATCAACACTGACCTACCTACTATTTTCCTCCAGAGGCGGTCATCCAAATACTGAACACAATAGTTTTCCTTCTTCTCGCACATCTTCCACTTGGCGAACATCTGGTTTTGTTTGCTTCGTAGACAGGTGCGTAGTACTTGCAATTCGATGTCCAGCATTCGGTGGCTATCCTCTGGCAGTCCGCATACTTCGTGTTGTCGTTTTCGTTTGATGAAGTTCGGAACGACTCAATGTTTTAGACAGCGGCGGAGAAAGTGTATTGACTGTCGAGCTAAGACGATTTTCTGTCTTAGTGACAGTGCTTCTTTTGCAAGTCGGAAGTATCTTGCTGGTACATCTTGTAGTAACTCCCACGTCCGACTTTCTATTAACCTCGGCATTGACTGAACAATCCTTTCCATTTCTGTTTAGCAAACACGAGGTGCTATTCCACTTCCCCACTCACGTAAAAGCTGACGTTTCGGTGGATTTCGCCTTTCGTACTGCGCAGCCCAGCGGCGCGTACGTGATGGAGTCCTTCGACGTTACCGCTTTTTATACAAACGTGTCGATTGACTCCGCAATGCAAGCCATATTCAAACTCCTTCTACAACACGAAAAAGAAATAAACATGGCTTCAAGAAAGAGCAGTTGATGGCACTCTTAAAAGAATGCTTGAGCTGCTCAATCTTCAGATGGTCCGGAAAGTACTACGCTCAAATAAGAGGGTTGGCAATGGGACAACGACTGGCACTATGTCTCGCCATTGCGTTTATGTCTAAGGTGGAAGCACCGGTGATTGATCTCGGGCCGCTACTATACTGTAGATATATAGATGACTGTTTTGTTCTTTGCTCGACACAAGAGGAAATGGACAAGTGTTTCGAGTTGTTGAATAAACGAATGCATGGTGTATAGTCAGTCAGTCAGAGTATATCAAGTTCACCCGAGAGAAACCGAAAGAAAAATGGCTTCCATTTTTGAACGTACAAATTCACCTATCAGAAAATGGCTACATTACGAAATGGTATCGAAAGCCAAGTAGTAAAAGCACCTTGGTACGTTACCTCTCTTCTCACCCCTTTCACACGAAAAAAGCGCTTGTAAGAAACATGCTTCAAAGAGCAACCAACGTGTGCACGGGAAGAGAGCAGAGAGAGGAGTCCCGGAACTAGGCGCGGCAAATAGCCATTTCCAATGGCTACAAAATTGTAGCTCGGGATAGGTGTAGGGGGAAAACGGAGGTCCCCAAACGATAACTCTAGCGACAAAAAGGTCCCGTTTATCCTACTCTTCAACTCAAATGATGTAAGTACAGCTATAAAACGCTGCTTAAGAAGGGCGGGTCTAGAGAATTCGGTAAGCGTAGTTGAAATGCCACCGAGTAATCTTAGGCGCCAGGTGGTTTGTAGCCGAGTGTATGACCGTCTATGTGGAACGCAAAATTGCATAATTTGCCCCAATGGTAAAGACGGTGATTGCACGAGCTCGGGTATAGTTTATCTGATCTTTTTTTTGTAAGGCGTGCGGATACGAATACATTAGCGAAACGGGCAGACCCTCTGTGTCTGCATAAAAGAACACCTAGCTGGAAAACATAAACTAAATACCCCGCTAGGCACGCATAGGACCCAGAGACATAACGGGGAAGACTTTGAAGTACGTGTCATGATCCTCGCACAGGAATCGAGAACACAAGCGCGCAAAACTCTAGAGGCATTCTGGATTAATTCCAGAAATCCGAAAATGAACCGCGAGGAAGAATGCCTCGTTATCACGCGTGATATAGGGCAGTATATAAACCTGTTATTCTGATGGGAGGGGCACATTAGATGAACACAGCTCCGCACACTCAGACACTTGCTTTGCCTTTCTGTCAGTTTGCCTTTTACTCTAATGGTCCTATCGGCAATCACCCATCAACGAGTATGATCTGGAGAGCACAAATAGGCACTGGAGCCAATTGAGCCAAAGCCGTGGTATAAATCGCAATCCTTATGTGATGTATAACCATAATGGTGTATAATGACGTAATACCCTGTCATTGGAAAAGTAATAGGCAGTAGATAAAAAGTAACGAGAATATCATTAGATTAATAAATGAGCTTTGGCTTACTTTCATTGGCGCTATAATTTCTTCGATATCACTTTCATTTAGTTTTCTCTTTTTAAGAGTGTCAGTCTTGAGTGGTGATTGCTATGTTAGTGCCTAAGAATGTCCTAAGTTCATTGCAGGGATCCGTATTTTTCGAATTAGAGTTGCATACACTTCCACAATGTCCGTCGTTCGCCAACTTACGATTAGATTTATCCGAGATAACACGCAGGTACGACGAGGTGTACAACATCTGCTGCAGAAGTGTATAGGGCGGAAGCCTCAGTAATCTACCGTATGTTTTCGTATTTCAGTGAGAGCTACAAAACGATATGGATGTTTTGGTGTCGTAATGTCCTCAACGTATTCCTTCCATTCTCACTGTTATTACTCCTAAACACGGCAACCATTTCCAATCTAAACAAACACCCAGGAGATTTTCTTATCCAGGTAAGTGTTGAAATTCTTCAAAATGAAGGAGAAGGAGAAATCTTATTCCTACTCATTATCTCCTTTAAGTGGTTTGTTTATCTCTGCTTCGGTTTGTTGGCAATTGTAGAAATTCTTATTTTTGAATTTCTGTGGGAATTCCAACGTCCTATCGTCCTAAAGCAATATGTCATTTCGTTTAACAAAGAGAAAAGGAAGGAGAAATTCCTCCACCTCTGTAATCTAATATCCCGCTTATTGTCGAATGATTCGAGTGAGTGTTAGCGAAGTCTTCAGTTGTCCCTGTGAATTTCTGCCCTAAGTTATCGGCTGGGTTCCACTCTCTCTAGGGATTCGAAGCGAGTCTGATTCTTTTAGAATCATCGCTAAGATGTCTGACCAACTGGTGGGGGTCTTTTCTACAGTACAGTTAATATTTCGTAAGATCCAGTTGCCGAAGCCCTTTGCCCAATGCTGGAACCATGAAGAAAAGAAGAAAACGAATTCACAGGAGATCGAGACTTTAGTTTTATTTTTATTACTCTTGTTGCATAACTGGAAAGAAATGCTGCTTGAAACTCGTTGATTTCTGAGCATATGGGTAATAAATTTGTAAGTTTTCCAGGCTAATTTAGTACTTTTCCACTAGTTTGACCGTAAAATATTAAACCTGGAAACCTAGAAACCCTATCAAACAACTGGCTCTTTGATGCAATTTCTTGGGGTATTTGTATTTAATTCTAACCGGTCCAGTTCGATCTTAAGTTCTACTTAAGAAACACCCTTTCTTGCATTCTGGTGAATTTTTTCGTGTGGTGTAGTATTGCTTGCTGCTGTAATCGTAACATTTAGTTTGATTTCACGGCAATATTTGGCACTATTTCTTCCCCATTCTAACTTAAATTATTTAAGCGAATGAAAGAATTAGAGTGAAACTGAGGACAGATATTTGAAACGGAAATTAAACAACAACATTGATCAAGGAGCGACGAGAACAATTTGTGTAACAAAAGAGATTTCAGCAACTTCCTTTGCGGATTGTCGGTTCTGGTCCAGACACATCTGCGAGGTTCAAGAAGAAAGACGCTACTAGAACCTTGGCAGCACTTGTGACAGTTTATCTTCTCACGAATACTCTTAATCTTATTCTCACCATTATGGAATTTATTAACCCCGAGCTTTTGAGAGAGCTTGCAGACGGACGTATTTATAAGTGAGTTTACAAGCATTTTATAAGCATACGGTATAGCTCCAAATGAAATATACACTGCAGTTCCTTAGTAAGATGAGATCAAACTCTACTTGCTTAAAATACAGGCGGTTGCCGATGCAAGTGGCCAGCAGTTCTCGGCCGGATACTATCGTGCTTTTAAGTTTGATTTCTGACCTGAGATCGTCGAAGGTAAAGAGCCGCTTGCTACAAAAATAGCACCATAAAGTTCTGGAAAAGTGCGAAAAAAGGTCACGAGACCCTGGTTGTACACAGGATGTGGAACTGTCTCTCAAATGAGAGTTTTCGGATCGTGCACACGACGGTTGCCGTACTATTCAGAAATTCGGGCTTGCCTTGTCGAATTCCATCTAATTCCACCTAGGTAGCCAGATGCATGCTGTGACAATTAATCTATTCACTGCCACGACCGACTTTCTATTAACCTCGGCATTGATCAAGTAATTTTCTTCGTATTTTTGTTGAGCAAACGCGAGGTGTTACTATTCTTTGTTCACGATTAAGCTGACGTTTAGGCGGATTTCACCTTCTTCAGAGCCGCTTTCTATGAGGTTTCCACTAAGTATGTCACGTAGAGACCAACCGCACAGAAACCACGTGGAAGT